CTGTGTACAAAACATATGGGTGGTCTTCTAAAAAAGTTAAAGTACAAACAAAAGAGGAACAATAGGGGGTCCCCAGTCGCAGGCAAATACACACTTGGGTGTGTGTGTAATGTATATTGTGTACATGTAACACCATGATGTACATCATCTCATTAAGTATCAAACAGGTATCCATTCCAGTCTGGGCCCAGCCCAACCCTTACGTAGGGAGGGGTTAGGGATGATGATGTGGCTGAATGGGATAGAGATTTGATGGTACCAGTACATGTGTGGTGGGGATTCAGTGAGATAGGGTGAAGTGTGAATTTGGTAGTGTTGTACAGTGCACATGTATAATGTACATGTATGTATTCACTGTACATGTACATGTATGCATTCACTATACATGTACTTGTACTTAATGCACATGTGCAAGTTTTCAGTCTTCGATGTTTTAGACAAGCGTCCATTCCCTTTTGAGCCCAGTCCAACCTATTGGATGGGGATTGTTGGGTTTGGTCGAGATAAGGGTTGTGGGATTGGGTTGTACCTAGACAGGATGGGGATCTGAGGGGATTTGATGGTATGCAGTGGGAATTACATGTATGTCTAAGATGAGATGGGAATTTGCTAGTGTGGGATGGTGGGGATATGTTGAGATTGTTGGGTTTAGGCAGTGATAGTAGTTGGATAAAGATTGTGCATTTTTAAACATTTTTGTATTTGTAATGCTTAATATTTACCTTGGATGTGATAAAACAAGTGAATATTCAATACATTTAACATAGCCATAAGTTTTTCAGAAAGAGATTGATAAATATTATTTATAGGTCACTGTACTTGTAGCAAAACAGGGGAGTCAGGTTGGTGTAATGGTTCTTTCCTGGCCTCCCATCACTGCAGTCCGGGTTCGAATCCCAGCTTGATCCGTATGTTTGTTTTTAGTCCCTACCTGATTCCGTGGGTTTTACCCAGAATATTCCTTTGGGGTTTTCCTCCCACTACTTAAACTGTAACTGCTTCTCATTGTCTCCTCGCTACTGGTTTCTTCGGACTCGCAAGCTACAGTGCCTAGGGCGCTTTTGAGGAGTCCTTGGCATCATTACCAGAAATGACTAATAATAATGATATCGAAGAAAATACAAAGTTTCATGTGTTTGTCTTAATGAATTGATTTGCATAAAGATGTAGCATTGAGCCATGACAGCTTCACTCTTCTAGTTTGAAGTCTTTATGACAGTGCCAAAGTACAGTAATGTATTTCCCAAATATTTTACAACCTGTGGCATTTTCCTGTAACTAATTCATTTTCCATTCTCACATTTTTTTATGTCTTTACTACCAGCCATTGGCAGATTGTGTGAAAAGTGTGATGGCAAGTGCGTCATCTGTGACTCGTATGTGCGTCCCTGTACGCTGGTGCGTATATGTGATGAGTGTAATTATGGCTCTTATCAAGGACGATGTGTGATTTGTGGAGGGCCAGGGGTGTCAGATGCTTACTACTGCAAAGAGTGTACAATACAGGAAAAAGACGTAAGTATCCTGGTCCCAAACCCAAGACAAATTTAATGTCTGGTATGGTGTTTGACTTTGAGCGAGATTTTTTTTCCTGATTCCATGATCAAACTGAAAACAAATTCTCTTAGAAGAGCCACAGACAGAGCTGGACCGATCTTAACTTTGTCTTTTGCTTTTGCTCAACAGCGAGATGGCTGTCCCAAAATTGTCAATTTGGGCAGTTCCAAGACCGATTTGTTCTACGAAAGGAAGAAGTATGGCTTTAAGAAGAGATGACATCACTTCAGAGACACAGCCGTTTTGACCAACATTAGGAACCTGTAAACCAAATAATGTGGTATTAACAGTTATTATCAAACATGCAATCCAAGTAATGCACCATGACCGTGGAGGAATAATATTTAATCAGTGAGCCCCAACTCGTAGGGACCATCAACAGATCAATGAGCTACAACTTTTGGGAAAAGTGGAACAGTTGGCCCGAACTCTTAAAATATCAAATGTTCCCACTCTCAAGTGTTTTGGTTGCTTGGTACTCCATCAGGTCTTGAATGACCAGATTCTCTCTAGACAGCAGTACAAAGCTAGGCTGACATCAGACTGTGCCAAGATTTTCATGGACAATTTAGAGCTTGACCCTTCAGTTTTTCTATTGACATGTACCTGCGTAGTTTTTATAAGGGCACTTCACACTGATGAGGTACAATCGGCTGCATATTGGGGATGGAATGGAGAGGATGACACCGTAGGGCACAGCAAAGCAAGATATTTTGTTCCACGTTTTCCAAGGCCTTATAATTATCATCTGTACAAAATAGAAGATTTGTCTCTGTACTTCATAACATAACTTACATAACATGGAAAGAATTTTTTGCTACAAAGAGACAGGACGTTTATTATCATTTGCATGAAGTTAGCCAAATTGCATTTTGTTTAAAATGTAAGCTATTTAGGATAACTAACATCTAAAATAAGCACCGTTCTCTTAGTTTGAAGACACTTACCGGTATGTGTAACATACATGTAGGCCTACTGTACATGACATGGACGGAAATTTGTGACAAATTTCTGCCTATGTTACGTTCATAATATTTTGAACATAACACCCTGCTGTGACATGTAAAAAATTGCTTTGGATTTTTGCAGGAAACATTATTGTAGGGAGAGGAATTAAAAAGGACAGGATTTTGTGAAATATTTCTATTGTAATTTTTATTGTGTCAGTATTAACATATTCTTGGTCCATGTTACATGCATTGCATCCTGTTTCTGAAGAAAGCAAACATATCCTGTAACAGTGAGCTCAGTTTTTCAACTGTGGAGCAAGAATTTACTGGTGCAAGGGGAAAATGGGACCTGTCGCTTGATATTATCCTGATTTATTTCCCAACCCTACACAATTGTATCCTATTGTGAAAAGACCCATTGTATTTGGCGTGCATAATTTGTCTAAAGATGATAGAAATTCTCGTAGATTTGGCATGTGTGCATGGGCATAAACAGAATTACGTGATGAAGCTTTCTTATTTTGTGCAGCTTTCTCTTGGTTCTTGGTTGTCTTGGTTGTGCTGAAAAGAACAAAAATTCTTTTAAGCATTTGAAATTTGTTGTGCTATGCCAGACAACTGAGGGCGCTGGTGCTGTGTCGCGGTGTCAGATTCCGGTGTCAGATTTTTCAGGTACTGTACTGGTATCTCACCGTTCCCCAATTGAAAGTGAGAAAACGCATAACACAAGAAAATACCATTATGGATCTGTCAAACAACAAAAGCCCCGTGTATTTATAACAGTATTTTCATGTCATATCGGTATATTATTTTATTTAGTGACGATAGATATTTTGCCCCTAACTCAACTCGCCATTGAACGTGTAATACGCCACTTATGTACATGTACACGTGCAAAGTTCAGACAGATGATGAAAGGCCTCTGAAAATTGTGACGCAAGAAGCGGAGTTCATCAATGAGTTTGTATGTGCCTTGGGTATAAGCCCAGTAATTATGTAACTGGGAGGCGAGGGGCAACCCCTCAAATTGAAGGTATTTCTACACGCGAAAAACGCTTGCACGAACACCACGTGGATGACGTGAAGTGATCGTCCGCCACGCCTAGACAGAAGGCGCGTTTGAGGCCTCAGGCGTTCACACCTCGTTCATTCTTTGGATATCTGTGAATTCATCGCGTTTCCTCATAGCAACTAGACCGTTATCTTGATGAAGCACAAACGTCCTAAAATTCGGCAACTTTGCCAACAGTGAGCACTTTTTCAACTTAATTGATTACTTACGTCTTTCCAGAGTCGCATCTTAAACTACATGTACATTTCATGGTCCGCGCGGTACCCGACTTTGGGTAGATTTACCCCACGGTGTTATACAGGGTGTCCCAGAAAAAAAAAGCAAAAAAAGGGGGTAAATATGCCCAAACCATGAGATATGATTAAAATGTATAAGGGTCTCCGAAAAGTCGAAGCTGTATTCTTTCTAATGATACCTTGATGGTATCCCTCCTGTCATGCATGACTGAACACCATTGTCTTGAAAATGGGGCATCCGAACTCAGTTGTAACACTTTGGATAAACCAGCGAATGAGGTTGTCCGCTGTCACGCTTGTCCTGGTTGAAATGGACAACAACAGGTCATGTTAATGAGGGAAGATTGCCTTTTGCCACTTTCAAGTTATGCAATAATCTGGTTTAAATGTGTTGACTTGCCCCGAGGTAGGCCAGGGCTTGGCCCAGGCTTTAAGTGCATTTGGTTTCCAGTCCATCCTCGCTCTCGCAGGTTTCCTCCGGGTACTTCAGTTTCCTCCTGCCTCTAAAACTGGACCTTCTTTCTAACTCCGTAATGTGATGCTGATTAATAAAGTGTATGAATAAACGTACAGTTATTGGCGCAAATAGCCTGAGTTGCGGAAAGCGCCATTAAAACAAAACAACAACAACAACATGCAGTGCAGTGTTGAAAAGTGTTCGAAGCAGGCAGTAAGTCTGCAACATGGTGCAACTTACTAAAGAGCAAAGAGTGTTTGTCGTGACAAAATTTCTTGGAAACAAGAGCTTTCAAGCCACCCAAGCTGCGTTTAAGGAAGCCTTCCCTGATAGGGATCCACCGGCAAAATCGACCATCTGGGAAAATGTGCGCAAATACCGAGAACATGGGACTAGCCTTAATTTTGAATAAGGGTCATTCGGGAAAGAGGCGCACAGTGCGAACTCCTGAAAACATGGCTGCAGTTCGACAGCAACTTGTCGAACAGCCAAGGGGAACCAGTTGCAGGAGGCATGGACTTGGACTGTCCCATTCTTCGTTTAACTGGATAACACAGTTAGACCTGCAAGTTCCATCCATACCGAAGGCATATCCGCCACCAACTTTTGCGTGGAGACCTCAGGAGGAGACGAGAGTTTGCTCAATGGTTCCTGGAACGCATCCAAAGTGTTACAACTGAGTTAGGATGCCCCATTTTCAAGACATTGGTGTTCAGTCATGCATGACAGGAGGGATACCATCAAGGTATCATTAGAAAGAATATTGCTTCTACTTTTCGGAGATCCTTATACATTATAATCATATCTCATGGTTTGGGCATATTAACCCCTTTTCTCAGGGTTTGGTTTTTCCTGGGACACCCTGTACATGTAGTTTGAAAGAAAGTAGCGGGATTTACTGGTCCCGGGTATAGGTTAGCTTGACTGTTAACCCCCCCCCGAAGCGGAGGGAGGTAGTGAAAAGAATTCCATTCAACGGGCATCGTGGAATAGAATGGATTATTCAGTGGTATGTGATCAACGATCCTCCCATCAGTCAACTCGGATTCATATAGGTATTGTTCATGCATGAAACAAAATAACAAACGTTTCATATTTTCGCAGCGGAACTTTTAACTTTACACGTTGCAAAAGACGACAACCAGTCAGAGAAGGTATTCTGACATGACGTGACAGTTCTCCTGCGTCTAGCTGGTTCTTTGCTAGCGCGCCACCTCAATGTTGCGTATAACAGCGGTGACGGACCATATCACCAGGTGTCCACCCCTTCTCTATGGACAGGAACAGTGGGCCAGGGGAAGTAGGGCCACAGCAGAATGGGAATCGACAATCGAAATGTGGGTAGAGTTGAATTGAGGGGTGCAGGTGGAGCAACCTAAGGGTGCAGTCGCTCCTTCCCTTGGGACTTTGCCCTCAAAACCTGTAATCTTAACTATTCGACCCTACAACATACTAAATTGGTGAACAGTGGTCACGTCTTTAATCATTCATCATAATTGGCCGTGTTATTCCATTAGAATCAGAGCACTTCACATTGTTCCAGTTGCTGAAGAATCAACCAATCATTTGCCTGAAAACCTTAGCCCTACAGCCATGGAGTTGGATGTAATAGGTACGCGCACGCACGTCACAGCCTTTTCAATAAAAGAGGGGACACTCTTTGTCAAAGAGGGGTCACTTGCCCAAAATGTTGATCCCAATTTCGAAATCAAGAGATTTCACTTTCAGAACATTGTAATTCACGGAACAAAGGCATTCTTATGCGTCCTATTTATCGTCATTTTTGTCTCACTCCGGGAATGGCGTTGAATTAGAAAAGCAATTTCGCTTCTTGTCATTCATTTTACTAATTAATCAGTCAATTTCGTCACTGAGTTTATCGTTAACATGGTTTGAATTACCGGTTAGTTGGACGTCATTTTTCTAAAAACTAAAAAGAATAGGCCGAAGAAATCGGGCATGAACGTTTCGGAATAATCACATAACGCACTGTTGTTTGACTCTTAATAAATAGATTATGGGCCAATGCTGTGTATACAAATTTATATCAATCTAATTTTTACAACTTGACTTTGTGGCTATTAGCTCAATAGCAAGTCCAATTCACACAGGGACCATTTACACAGGGATGTGCAACTGCGGCTCCAGTGCAAGAACACGTATGATTCATTCTTGCAACCGCGTGACATGCGTTATTCATGCAATTCAATTTACTCGTTTTCTTTATTCATCACATCTAAAGAGAAAAGAAATACATGCAGAAACGTCGATAAAGTTTGTAATCTTTCTTACTTCTGAGATGAAATGATTCAGTTTTATTTTCAGAGTAATCCTTACAACACGCGCGATTGGGCTGTCATTTTGAATCCATATGTCTTGACTGCCGTTTACTTTTATCACCAAATATTCATAAAACTTTGGTACATTTTCCCCCAAAATGGCTCAGTATTATGGTCTCATTCTTTCTTTGAGGACTTAATTGCACATTAGAAGACACTCTGGGTGTGTTTTGACGTACAGCTAAAATTGTTTTGAAAATTTAAAAATTAAACATGGAAGTCATTTTTTCCACCGCCAATTAGGCCTACAAATCTAGAAAAATCCGACAATGGTATGAAGCAGCATCTAATTGGATAATATTTTTGCCACCCCTAGGCCTAGCTGCGATATGTCGGAAATTTTACACTCAAGGATGCCATATTTTACTGTTTCGTTGAGCATATAATGTTTATGAGAGTAACAATATTTACAACTTGTATAATTTTTTTATAATACAGTTATTTCACCCACCATGAAAGCCGACAGAAAATGAAATCTCGCTTTAATGAGACAACTTTGTGGTACATATTTTTTTCGGAATAAAATACCTTGAGTATCTTAGTTTATGAAAAGTTGTACTCTGACTTAAAACATTAAGTCATTAAAGGTAAGGGAAATGGTGGGAAGGAACAAATGTACAGACGGATATGACTTCAAGCACTCCTTCCCACGAGGACTCTGACAACAGCTTCCCATGCCTGACATCTGTTATTATTCATCGAAGACAGTGTCTTGCGCCGCAATGGCAGGAGGTGTTATGTAATCCGTTGTTATGTTAATATTTTTCCCTTAATACTTTGCTGGCCGTAAAAGACAGTGAAGAAGATTTAAGCTGAAGTTGTACATCCGGCAAAATAATGGTTTGGCAGGATTGGCGTTCCTATTCTTGAGTGTGTGACGCTTTTAAGCTACTGAACAGTACAGTCTCACGTTATCCGTGTTGAGGTAATGGTGAGATACAAGTATTTCAACAGATAACTTGGGACATGTACGTGTACAATGCAGAATTTTCCACAGTTGCAAGTCCCTATGCTCACAAGGTCGAACGCGTAACTACAAAGGCGCTAGTCGTCTGCTTCCACCGAACAATGACATACTTGGCTCCGCGTGATTAATAGTGCTGTCTTCTCCATCAACCCGCCACGTTGTGCATCAAGTCCATAAAGAAGCTGCGTACGCCTAGGACAGTAAGGAGTGACCGTGTCAAGTCTGTGTGTCGTCGTTGCTCGGTGAAGCTTCCAGTGCATATTAATTTCGAAGAGGTAAGCCTATAGGTCTTAACCCAACGCTCTCGTTGTAAAGGTTCCTCTCGAAAGCAAAGTCGTGTTATGCCTTTATATACAGGGCGTGGATTGGCTCAAATGCTGGACCACGCTTGAGGTCAGGTACACGTAAAGCCACATCACACTATGACGATTATTCCCAAAATTCTCACTGCGTGACTGCATTTGTGTCGAGTGCCCGAGTCGACCCTTGGCCAACTTGACTCAAGAAATATCAACCGGTGAGCATGTCATCTAAGTTGACCGTTCTCTGAGTTAGCAAAGAGTTCCGTGTACAGACGTCTCGCTCCCGTGCACGCCGGCGTAAATCCTTGGGTTATTTTGATCATGAGGAATGGACTCTTTCGTGGTGAGAAAAAAAAGTGGATTGTGAAGAAGTTTTCGGACTTCCCTACAAATGTATTCAATTTAACTCAAAAAGAGACAACAATACAAAGTAGCAGGAAGTATACGCCTGTCTGATGTAAGATTCTGCATGAATATCAATACAGATGTACATCTGTATCATGAACATCGCTACAATATTAATATTCTGTCGTATTGTGTCAGCCCCCCCCCGCTTCCATGGCTGGGCAAGTCATCCCCCACCCCCACCCCCATTTCCTGTATAAATGTATGCCACTACCTGTACACGAACCCTATGAGACGGGTCTGAAAAATTCCTTGAACAGTCTATATTAATTTGACTTGTTAGGTCATGTTATTGCTTTCACAGCCTTTTAGATGGCTTATAGGTAAATGTACTGAGGGAAACCGAGTGGGTTTAGTGAGAAACTGACATCTGGTCACTCAAATCGTAGTCTAAAAGCACTTTCGACGGGTTTTTGGTCGTCGGTGAGTTGCGGTTCGGATGCAGAGACAGGGCCGTGGTTGGTTGGTGGAATTTAGCCCGATAATAAAAGGTACGCAGTGAGGCTCCGGAACCCTCGCGCTGTACGCCTGTGGGTTCGGCCCATCACGTTCGATAATTTTGGGAAGAATGATTCCTTACTGAAATGCGGCTTTAGGCTCATGTAACAGATTAAGCCAATTACTCGCTGTCCCGACATCCTTGCTTTTATTTCATGGTGTTGTTTTCTTAGGGTTTGGGTGCTAGTATTTGATGAATAAATATACAAATTACTTTCTTGCTTTAATTCTTATCTACTAAGTATTATGTGCAAACAAAACAGAAATGCGTCGGGTGGGGGCAGGTTTCCCGTCTGCCCCCCCATACGCCACTGATGTCTGAGTTTTAACTTTGTGTTTAAGTAATATTTTTGAATAGTCACTGGAGATGTGTAAAAAACATGAAATTCACTGACGGGTGACGACCTTTAACTTCCGTCAATATTGTTCCTAGGTCTCCATGTTCATACACGTTGGCTTTTACTTCACAAGCTCAGCACGTGAAAACGAAATTGTACAAATTACATGTACAAGATTTGCATGTACCTACCTGTATTCAATGGGTTCCAGATTCGGTTGAGTTGACCTGACGTCGTTCTTGCCAGTGAAGGTTTAATATAACTTTAGAATCTCAATATGCAAACGCAGATTATTTCTTCAAGTTTATTATTATTGTCTATCTGGAAATGAAACCAAGGATTCCTCAAAAGTGCCCGGGCTCTGTAGCTCGTATTAGCCTGAAGAAACCTGTAGAAAGGAGACAATGAGAAGGAGTCACAGTTTCAGCAGTGGGAGGAAAACCCCAGAAGAATAGTCTGGGTAAAACCAACGGAATCAGGGAGGGACTGAAAACCCAACCCACATGTGGACCGGGCCGGAAATCGAACCCGGACCGCAGAGGTAAAAGGCGGGGAAAGAACTACACCAACTTTATAATTTAATTCCGTTATAATTTAATTCCGTTTTTACTTTAGCTTCTACCGAAAGACTTCCGAAAGACTAACTAATAATTTCTTAACTGTTCAACTGCGTACGAGACTACCAAATTGTAATGGTCTTCATGTATTTTCGATTTTTGGAAGCGAGAAGTCAACTTTTGGCGGAAAATTTCTCTCTCAGGTCCAGTAATGTTTCAGTTTCTATGAACTTGTATGCTAGAAAATATTTTACAAAGGCCTAGGTGATCGTTTTAAGAAGTAAACAATGAAAAAAACATATTCTAACACTTGCACGCAGCAGCATACCTACCTTTCTGTGTGTTGGGAGGGATTCAAAAGCGAATGCAGCTTCTTGCTCATTCAACATGATGTTAGGGGAGAAAAAAATCAAATTGTGTTATTTTCTTAGGGTTTAGTGCTAATATTTGGTAACTACATCTACCGATTATTACCGAAGTATTATTTGTAAAAAACAAATTGAAATGCGTCCGGGGAGGCAAGTCCCCCCCCCTGCTGGATACGCCACTGGTTGCACGTTACTTTTTTCTGTAATAAGGGTTCCGGAAGCGCGCCACCATCGGTCAACTTTCAGGCTCTAATAGCAAGTTTGCTTGTCGCCCAGCGTCCGAACAAAAGGGCCGAGGCTGATGGCTTTGCACAGATTTTAGTGAAGGACATACGTCACACTTGGTCATAGCTAACGACGCGCAGAGCATTGTGGGTAAATTTATGCCATACGCGCGTGCACGCTCAATGCGTATACACAAGCGGCGGTTATCAATTCGATTTTTTTTCTTTTTCTTACCCATTGGTGAAAATATTCTCACTACACTTTATTTGTTCAAAATTGATCAACAAAACCGATAATTTGAAATAGGTTCCTATCGCCAAAAGACACGTGATAATTGATACTAAGCGAGAAGATAAATTACCACAGTATTGTATCAAGGCCATGTTTTTATCATACAGCCGACAGTACACATGTCAAAGCAATTGTCATTAGCGAACCAAAACTTTAAATAACGCTCCGCTAAAAGGAAGTGATAACCTCGCGGTCATAGGTCATGTACAATGTAGCCAATCACAGTGCAAAGCTATTGGCTCTTCCCAGCGCCCTGTTCAGGCGCTGGGCGCCGACGAACTATTATTGGCAAGGCGATATCCTTGCATGACCAGCACTACGAGCAGTACATGTCACCATAGCGTAGTACATTGCACAGCCAAGTGGGTGCACCACGTGTGTTATTATGTCTGTGGGGTGCACCGAGTGGGTAGTCGCGCGCAAACTTGCCTGGGGTTAGTAGATAGACCAGGAATTTTGTAAGAGCCTGGATGTTATGGTAAAGTAGAGGGAAGGTTTCTTGGAGTTTGGAGAGTGCAAAGGAGTCTCTCTTTTGGATACTCATGTCCCCAATTTTCGTACCTTTGATAGGGAAAGGGACGTACATATGTAATCGTAAAAGTATCCGTTTTCAGAGTTAGTCATTTTTTTTTTAGACTTTGAGAGGTTCATCTGTAGCATACAGCTATAACGTTGCATTTCTTCGATGAAGACTTTTAGGAGATCAACTGACTTGTCATTAGTATTCAGTTCAGTCCACCCAAATTTTTTTTCTCAGTGTTTCCCAACATCACAGTTGTGGAAAGCCTTGGTCAAGGCATTCGTTGCAGTGCGGCAAAGTCCCATACAGCTATGAGTTTATACCAATGTGAATGATCTATAGCAATTCATTGAGAATGTTTTTGTTTGTAATGATTTGAGCATAATTCAGTATCTTTGTTGATTAGCAGGCCTGTATAAGCTTACCCGTAACAAGCTTATACCCTTGTCACAGTAAGAAACTCTCCTGTAAAACACGTTATGGCTATAAATAAAAGACGTAATAAAAATCCATTGCTATATAATATAATGTTAGTCGACTAGTTGTCCAGTTGTGCACCAGCCTGCCAGGGTCATGTTAATTCAGGCTTGGACGTCAAATGCTGAAAGTCATGCAATAGGCCAAGACCTAAAAACATGTGCATGTACGCTTTCCGATTTGGGAGCTCAATGGATCGTGTCTCGCCTTACTGCTATAGGAAAGCTCGCATGTAAATTATCTGCTCCGAGCGGAACAAAGAGGGCGTTTTTAGTACTCACCGCATAGGTGCACGTTTATAATGGAGATCAATGGCGCGTTTTGACGGGGAGCACGCCGAGTACGCGCAATCAAATTACATGTATACCTTCATGGGTGCGTTCGATTAGCTTACACGTGTAAGTCAAATTTACACGAGAGCGTTCGTTTAGCCATCACGTGATCTTCGTGCCTGCACTGGTGTCAGCCACCACTACTCCAGCTGGCGAGCAAGTCTCTGGAGGCTGCCCGAGTGTAATGACGTCACGGATGGACTGTTCGAGCATGGAAATGATGAAACGTGGCGGGGACTTGACCTTTTTCCCAGAATGCCTTGGCGAATACGCTGCAGCGTTCGATCAGCCTCATTTCGAGGTTTCCCTTGGTGTAACACTGGTGTATTCAAGGAAGCTAATCGAACGCACCCAATGTATGGTCTTTGCGTACACGCAGAACACGAGCAAGAACCCGCTTGAAAAACTTACTACCATTTGTATTTCTTGTGCCGCTTGGGGGTGCACTTCAACTCGGAGCGGATACACTTGTTAGGCCTACAGGTTTATTTCAAAATTAGGCCGTCGACACATGCCGTTACTGCAAAATACGGGCGTTTCACAATCGTGCGCCACCAAGAGTTTGCAAAGCGTTGGCCAATCACATTGTGCGAAATTTGTCGACTCAATGCGTGTTGAAAAGAGTCGACAGATTTAGCGCGTTTTGATTGGAATGCGTTGTAAACACCTGTTGGCGCACTTTTGCGAATCGCCCGTTTCTTCGAATTTTACGTGACAAAGAAAAGGTCAACGATCGTTATTAGCTAGTATTGTTCATCAGCAACGTGTAAGAGAATTTGCCAATTTAGAGTTACTGCAGAAATCCAACTCCTCGAAAATAAACTTCCTGTAAATATTCGCACATGAAACTGAACACATGTGTGGAACAAAACAAATTTCGGACTCATTTAGGCCTAAACGTAGAGAAAGTCTATTTTGGGACATTTTGTTCTATGGTCACTAACCATCATACTGCTTTGCGGTTACTTTTTGCATTTGACATTTTGCCATTTCACCATTTCGCACAATGTATACGCGCCCTTGTATGTAGTCTATTGGCAGCTATCCTAAAAGTAAAGGCGCCTTTCCATATTGCGCGTCAACACTCGTACTGAGCGTAAGCGTTAAGTATCCGTCAGAATCACTCTCGGGGCGATTTTGACGCAACAGACACGTGTGTTATGTTAATGGAGTCGATTTGGTGCCCTTGAAATGAAACACACGAACGCATCGTGTCCGCAACGCACCGTGTCCGCAACGCATCGTAAAAACGTCAAGATGGAAAGTCGCCTTAACGGAGGAGATTATTTTTGAAAAGGCATAGGCCCCTACTGAGTTTAAAATAGCTATGAGACTGAATTCCTTGTGAAATTATTTTGTTCTGGAATTTAAGCTGTCATACTGGAAAAAAAACAAATAAAGCCATTTCGAACAACACATCTTAAGACGCATTTTGGAAATTAAATACATGCGATTCACAATAGCGCGCCTCCAAGAGTTTGTTTGTATTTACTTAATCTGGTCCCTAGGGATTCAAAACAATGCAGTTGCAACATTTAAAAAGAAGAGATGGTAGTACCGAAAAGCACAAGTAGAAAAATACAGGCGATGTAAGTGCGTTATGCGTAATGCGCACTGGACGCACTGTCATCCGTCGCTAGCGTGTTTGCCCACATTTTTCAAAAACACGGTTTTATGCACAAGACCGGCGGTCTATGCGTTTATATGTCTGTGGTTCATTCACAATAGAAGGCTTTTGGGGGCAATAGGGGAGGCAGATTAACCGATTCTTTCGGCAAGTTCTGGGCATACGCGCGTATTCGCTCGTCGCCCAGCGCCCGAATAGGGCGCTGGGATGGGCTGATGGCTTTGCACTGTGAATGGCAACATTACGCACGACCTGTGACCGCGAGGTCATCAATCGGCACGTGACTGTGTTGGTAAGCACTTACCGCATAGGCGCGCAAGTTGAGGCGCGTTGACGCAGATCATGCGGAGTACGCGCAACAAATTATTTTTTTATTCTTCCGATATCTATCCAGTTCGTAAGTGCCTGCCTCACAAAGGCAGATGCGCCACGATTTGCAGGCTCCCATTGGACGATCGCTGAAGTGACGCGTTAACTTCCGGTTCCATGGTTCCACGTAAACGTCAACCAATGCATGTACATGCAACCTTACGTGTAGTGCACGTGTGCAGTGGGCGCAGTTTCCATTGTTCCTCTTTTGTTCATACTTTATGTTTTTTCAGAAGACCACCCATATGTTTTGTACACGTTTTCCAACCGTGGACTCTTCGGCAACCGTGGACCCTATGTCCCCTATTTTTATAGGTCCACGATTGAAGGCGTTTACATACTCATTGACTGTAGTCGTAATTTAAATTTCCCCAAAGGTGGAATATTCAATAATCCGCCCTGAGTTAAAGTCCACCTTCACTGGCGAAAGAAAGACATACCGGTAGGACGTTTTCCAACCGGTTCTTGCACGCGTAATAAATTTGTTGCACATACTCAGCGTGTCCCGCACCAAACGAGCATAAACCTTCGCACCTATATGCGGTGAGTTCGTACCAAAGGACTGTCACTTTATTTTGTTCCAGCTCGGAGCAGATACCATATCAGTGGTTGAGATCGCTCAACCGGGCATGGTCCAACATGGCGCGGCAAGATTTGGAACAAGGTTGCATGAAGCTTTATGTGCAGAGGGCGTTATAACGAACCGGACACCCCTTGATTCTCTTTGGTTCGTTGACGATAAACGCAAAACGTTGCTAGCATTTTCTGTACACGAAGAAATTTCTGAATTGGCCTTTCTTCCAATCTGCTCCAAGCTAGAACAGCAGAGGGCGTGTTTTAAATGAAATTGACAGTCCTTTGGTACGAACTCACCGCATGGGCGCGCAAGTTTTTGCCGCGAAACGAATTTATTCTGGAAAGTGTGGTCTTTGCGTGCAGAACAAATTCGGCAACTTGCCCCCCCCCCAACGGGATTTTTAAGGATTTTTTTCTTTTTTTTTTAAAGAATGGGTGAGTGGGAAAGAAGGTGCTTAGTATTTTACCTATCAAATATTAGTACCAAATCCCTAAGAAAACAACACCAGCAAACTTAGATAAAAGCACAATGTCGGCACCGTGAATAAGGCTGTTGATTATTTTCTCCACAATATCATGTTGAATGAGCCCGAAGCCGTAGTCGCTTTTTGGATATGCTCCCTAGACATCAAAAGCTGGATACGTCCGCTGGTGTATGTCCAAGCAATTGGAGTAACGAAGTAAAACTGTGACTAGTACACAAAATTTACAAATGATTTATTTAGGTATTAATACAAAACAAAGTATGAATTGCTTCCCATTCTCGCAATGTAAAACGAATCATTGCCATGCTACGAGGCAACGAGGTAAACATTAATAAGGCCTATTTGTATTCTCTATCAGTGGCGTACCCAAGGGGTGGCTTAAGGGTACGGGTCTTTAGCCAACCCTCTCCCCATATTTTCATCTTCAATGTCTCTTTCATTTTTCGTTAAATTCTAACATTTTAGTTTTATACTTTATGAATATACAATTATGCACTTACATCTTACTATCAGCTGTTATACAGTTGGCCTGGCCCCCACCCAACGATAAATCCCGTGCGCCACTGATCCGCGTGGACGTTAAGAGTACTAAAGTGTGACGTCACTGTGAACCAGAAAGTGCAGTGCAAACGAATGGTTCTCGCACTAATGCTCTTTACACACTAAATGTGCGCGTGACGTATTCACTTCGGTACTCTATAGCGCGTTGTGAATTTAGCGAATGGACGAAGTGGCGCTTGGACGATGTTGCAAATGGGCCAAGTGACAATTCACCGAAGTAACTGACATCACTTATATTGTAGTTGGGAACAAAAATTTGATGAGGCATTCTGTGGCGACAGACCATCCCATTACAAATTTGTTTTTCAATATTGATTTTCAGTATATTTCTTTGTTGTTTCACAGGTTACGACAATCAAGCTACTCTGGCGATGCCTTCCGTCAGCCTGAAAACAAAGGGAACGACTCTCTTGCTGTGTCTGATCTCCTTCACTCTTGGCCTTTTCTTGAATTCATTCCCGAGCTATGGAAACAGATTTTTTCCAGTTGAAAGACAGGTTAATGTAGCCCCTGTCAGTCGTGTTGTTAGCGAAAACACAAGAAAAGGCCACCTCGCGAACGAAACGGAAATTGGTGCCCCTACACCTGACCTCATGATCCGCAGTGGAAAAAGTCCTGTTGTTGGTCCATCATTATTTGAAGATGACGATAACAAAAAGGATAAGGAAGTGGTTGTTTATGCCGACACGCCAATTAGCAACAAGAATGATAGCCATGTGAATGACAAAGTAACCTTTGATAACAAAAGTGCGCCAATTAAAAATGGCCAAACGAAAACGGTTAATAAAGCGCAGTCGTTGCTTCGCACAGGAGGACGTTACTCAATAACCGCAACCCAACTGTTAAATAAGGCAATCGGGTTCATTTCCCCTGACGTTAGGGCATCATTTGCAAACAAAACAGGCATGAAATACGACAAAAGCAAGTCTGCAATTATGTGGTCTAACACAATGAATGCCCAGAAAAAATGGGCTGTGCTGAAAGACGGCATGCGGCAGTTGGGCTACGAACAACGCCTACCCACCATCATTTGCCTTGGCCTGAAAAAGGCCGGAACCACGGCTTTTTTGTACTACCTCGTGAAGCATCCACAAATTTCCCGCGCCTTACTGGATGAGGTTCACTACTTCAGCATAGACTATGGCAGAGGTATCGACTACTACCGGTCAAGAATGGGATTCTCCACAGCCATGATGCTCCAGTTTGAGAAATCCCCATCGTACTTTGTGTTTGACGACGTGCCGCAGAGAATGTTGAAGGATCTGCCGGCCAGTGTAAAATTTGTAGTATGTGTCCGGGACCCCTTGGAGCGGACTATATCAGACTTCAGACACGAGTACGAGCTGAAGCTCAATCGGAAGCGCTCGAGAGCTGCAGGAGAGACACCCGTGACGCAAGCCAAACATTTCGTCGAAACAATAATTGATAGTAATGACCGGGTAGATCCATCTAGTGGATTCATTATCGAGAGTCTTTACTCCAAGCATTTTAAAAATTGGCTGAAGAGTTTCCCTCGAGATCGATTTTACATTTTGAGCCAAGAGCGTGTGAAGAAGGACCTGTACACCGAGCTGAAAAACGTCGAGAAGTTTCTTGATTTGGAGCCATTTTACGAAAGGAGTATGTTCTATTACAATGAGCAACGGCATGCACCGTGTATGCACTCCGGTTGCCCGCCAACGAGCACACCAGGGTTTCTCCCTAAAGCAGCCCTTAGCCCAGCCATCCTTCGAAAACTGCGCGATTTTTTTCGACCTTATAATCGGGAGTTTGAGGAGCTTACACAGATGAATTTTTCGTGGACAAATCTGTGAACTAAAGCGAGAGTGATAGGGAGGCTGTGTGCTAGTTTGTGGGAACGAAGCATATTTTACGTTACTTAGCAATTGAAATATCGGTTGTAAAAGATCTTAAGCTTGGCAATTAACAGCAGAAGGCTGCTCTTTTATGTGGTTCTGTTTGCAAAGTGTCAACCTTTTGCGACTGCTTGAAAATTTGGTTCACTGCTGATAACTTTCTAAATGGAGGAGAGATTTTGATGGAAATGTTTTGTTTGTTCCTTTTTTGATCGGCCCTTGCATTTATAGGTAAATCTAATTTCGAAATTTCAGATTTCAGAATTAGTCGCTTCATTTTTTTCTGAGTTTCACATATTTTATATAGCATAAAGCAGAAACTATTTCTTAAAATCAAAAATTGTAACCAAAACTGAAAAGGTAGCGGGCCTTACATAATTAGCAATCCTATAGCAGATCTCATGTATTTAAGGTCACTTCACCTGAATGCAGTCTACCACATCGTTTGATTCTGTTACTGTTTTGATATGCTACCGTTTGATTTAACATAAACTTTCTTGGACTAACTCATATTCTAATAATAGGCTACTATCCCTATATTTTTAAGTTCAGCTCGTCATTTCATATTGCAAAGTCTAAGGGAACTAGGTAGGTTGGAATAATAGACCTTCTTTGTTAAAGGTAATGATTATTAAAAGACTGAAAACTTGGGTCCTTTTACTTGTGCATATTTCGTTCATTCGTTAAGCATTGTTAACAGTGTGCTCGTTATTTTACACATTGGATACCCCCACAAAGAGCAGAGATTCTGGTATGCCCCATGTATCTTATACACCACTCAACAAAAGTTATGGACCACTTTTATTATGTGTATATAAAAAAATCTTATATGAGATAGTTTGCTACTGATATTGTGCTTTTGATGTTTTGAAACATTAAAAAAATTCTAATCCAATGAGAGCATCGTCTAGACAAAAATAATGAAAGAACTAGACCCCACTCATTGCTTGAAAATTACAAGTTCAGAAAAAGTGGTCTTTAACTTTTGAGTAGTGTATCGCTAAATAAACCACGCCCACTGCACATTCAGCTTTACATGGAACTACGCGTATACACAGAGGCGGGCCTGGGGTTCCCTCCCGTTCAGCCAAGGGCCAAATGGAACTGTAAGTGAAATGACGGAAAATGAGACGCCCTACTAAAAAATCCTGGACGAGGATTTCGCCAGCCATCTATTCATCTATAGTTAAAAAATTACATCGATTTCTGGTGGATCCCCTTAGTAGGGCATCCCTTCAGAACGCCCATCGACCCCCATTCCTGAAAGCTAGATCCGTCCGTGGTAGACCTGGAGAAGAAAACCCTGGAACCCTGAAAGTGAGTGTTCATGTGAGATTGTTTTGAGTGGTGCGTTCGCCTGTATGGCGAAGTCATTCATCTCCAACGTCGCTCCCACGGGTACGATCTTGCTGCGCCATATGTTGGTTCCTATAATGCCTTGCGCGATCTGCCCATCCTAGAGTCGAGGTCGGGGCCTCTCTGCGCACGACGACAGCTGCTGCTCCAGAGCCGTCAACTTTACACTAGAGAGTTTAATGGTGGTGAACACCATTGGTAAAATCCCGAAATTCGGACTACCGGGTAATCCCGAAATATCTTAATGGAAAAAAAGTACATAACAGTCTCAACCAGTCTGTAAAATATTTCCACCCAGAATGCTGCAGTTTTTGAGAGGAAACAAAAATTTTGTTCTCTTTCATTACGACGGTTGGCCGATCATCGTAATAGAGTTGAATTCACTTCGCACACCACATTCTTTAACAGGCGCCAAATTTCTTGTATGTTGCGTTTGCAGACGTGGGAGTCTCCATTAACGAATGGATAAACTAAAAGCAGCCAAAACATAGGCCTACCTACAGTCTTTCACCAAAACACTGTGAACTGAAATTATACAGTCCTGAGTGTTAGGCGACAATTAGAAAATAAATTGGATCCGTGTGAAGTTGAATTTTATTAAAGGAATTTTTTTAACGGAAAACTTTGCGAATTCAAAATCAACACTAGATAATAATGGTATAACCCAATATGGCGGATGTTTCCGAGCACGATGGTTTCGTCAACAAAAAGTACTATTTCCACACGTTAATCCTCCCTTGTTTTGAGACATAATTCTTTTTTACTTGTAATTATTAATGACTCGACTATTAATGGTGTTTTAGACTTTCATCGTTGGTGAAATGACATGAAAGTGCCGTTATAAACACGATCCCGCGCGCACGTGCATTATCTTTTAGGCCTAGTCCTACTCGTTTCGTTGTCATGGACACGAGTCGACTGCTGTGAATTCCTGGATGAAGTTTTTCCATGAATCTGCAATGCTACATTGTCAAGGAGGCGCAATACTCCAAGGTAAACTCACTGTTTACTCCGTTTAAAACTGCTCCTTTTCAAGGGAATGAGAACCTGTCATGCTTGTTTCCCACCCTGACCCCGCGGACGATGTTCACGTGTGCCACGAACGCCCTGCAATCATGGATTTTACGCAAGATAAACAACAAGACCAATTTCAGCGTTGAAAATGCCAAGCTGTTTTTCTCGGTTTTTTTTTTCACTAAGCACTTGACTCAATCATGAAATAAGTGAGTGGAATGTAAGTTGCATTGAATATTACACACCGTAAACAGCAAATCTTGTGAAATTACGACAAAAACCAATGGTGTACACCACCTTTAAGATTCCTCAATTCGCTATCACGACGTGGCGTTCGCTTGTCACTCAGCGCCCAAACACGGCGCTGGGAAGGGCTGATGGCTTTGCACCCACCTCATTCCCATGGGTACAATCTTGCTGCTGCGCCGGGTGGGTTCCAACCATGCCTTGCACGATCAAACGAGCACTTAGTCTTGGTTTCAAGACGTTAGTGCTTGAAAGCGGACACCGTACATAGCGCGCCCCCTAACGACTCACAATAGACTGTGCGCCAGCTCGCGCTAATTAGTGAGAGTAAGTAAAAACTAGTTGTGCGAGGGCGCTTTTTAACAGTAATAAAACAACTATCGATCACTGACGTCTTGGGACAAGCACGCAGCCCATGGAGTCGAGGATGGCCCAGACTTTAGTGAAGGAAATACGGCACACGGGGGTCACAGCTAACAATGCTAACGACTAATTTGTCGTTTATTTTCCCCAGATTTCACCGGAAAAATCTCCAAGACAGTCATGATTTGTGTTTGTCGGATCTAAAGACGCACTGAACCCAAATCGTTTGACAGACGATGTGATATCAGTGACAGAATTATTCTTCGGGGCAGAGATGAAACCAAAGTGAGAAGTAGAGTGCTGACGTTTCTGTTGAATAGAGTTACAAACAAGGGAATTCAAAGTCAACGCAATGAAAGAAACTTTGTCTACATGACAAAATTATTCGTTCTCAGTTAAAACTCCCTTTTTTATGCCGGAAAGTAATTGTTAAATGTAAATCTTTAAGTCAGGTTGTGAACTCAACTTTTTAAGCTGATTAACAAGTGTCTGTTTTAAAAATGGCAGGAAGTTAGTTTGGTCACTCATTTAAAGCTGCGCTCACTTTGTGTTCACAGAAAAGTTTCTTGCACATCCGTATTCTGCATGTCGGTTTTAAATGAATTTTACTCAAGATATGAATGAATTTTATTTAGTACAATTTCTCCTAAGGGTATAAAATTATAATCATTTTATTGATGATTTTTTCAGTATTGGCTCATCGAAACCAGACATGGACAGTTTGGACATCATATTTACTGACAAAACCTATTGCTTGTTCTGGTGGAATTCTTAAAGTTTTACACACTGAACAAATCACGATTGAACCGACCCAAAGTGAAAATATTGCCAAAGCGAAACCGTAGACAATAGGTGTAAAAAAATGAATTAAAAACAAACATACAAATCCCAGAAATGATATTCTTGCATTTTCTGTTTATTTTTGGCTTGTTCTCGGGAGGGAGGCCGCGGGCTTAGTCATCATCCCATGAGAAAAACGTAATGTTGACCAGAAATGCACAGCATACAGCATGACATTACCCTCCTGAAGCGCCGCGCATTTTGCAAACAATGCACGATGTCTTATCCAGTCTATATAATCAATGGTTCAAGCATAGGCCTGGAGGAGAAACTCCTCCTCCAGGTCTATGGTCCAAGAGAGAGCTTTGCAAAAGAAATATACTGGACAGAAACTGTAATGTGCTGAGATGAGGGGCGCAGCTAGCAATGGCACATCTAGAACGAAGTGCAAAGGGGAACATACCCAACCATTTGTACAGGAATCGCCCAGAGAATCACGGTTTTGCATAATCATGCAACGTTTTAAATTAAACAAACTGCTAACTGGAAAAAAATCCCCCAATTTCCCGTTTGAACGCTTCGCCCCGCCCATTAATGTTTTAAGCATAGATTAGCGCCATCTCGAGTTCATCATTGTCCAGTTGTAACAACAAACTTCACGTGCGGTGGTGTTGGCCGTGGTGATGTCGTCTTTGCTTGTCTCGATATTCAAAAATTTGTAAGTAAAAAAGATTTAACATCAGAATGAACCCCTGTATATTTATTCTTAAGTAATTGCAGAGTATCCCGCTGCGCGTAAATATCCCCTAAAAATTAAATCCATGGCTTTCGTAGGCGAGTGGAGTTTGTCATGTTTGTGTCCAAGGTACGTGTTGTGCACATGCACGTGAAGTCATTTTGGAGAACGAAGCACTCATTTGAATTAGGCCTAGGCTACATTCAACTCAATCGGGGAAATTTTTCTAAGTCCAACGTGGGTCCCGGGGAGTGGCTGCACGGCTGTGAAGTGGGCCTTGTGCGTCCTACAATGCAAAGTGAATGGGAAAGGCGGAAGAATAAGTCCAATGTGGGTCGCAGGGAGCGGCTACGCGGATACGAGATATGAAGTAGGCCTTGTGGATGGAAGTGTGACTCTGTATCCGTGTATCTGCAACTACGAGGTGGGCAAGGTGAGTGACGGGGTATTCTGCAATGGTGCGTTATTCTTTATTCATAGGTAAAGCCTTATCAGTTATAAACTGTTCTTGGGAGGGACACTTACAATGTAGTCCAGCATGTCCTGTCAATATGACTTCAGCACAATCTTGACTCTTGCGCAAATTTATTGTACTCTAGGGGTTACTCCCAGGATTGGAGGCATGTGGATTAGGAATTTCGGGATGCCTTTCCCATATAGAAGAAAGAATTAGATTTAAACTTTCTGACATTTATCTCAAAAGAGGCAGAATTGTAAGGCATTCTCTGTGTGCCTCACAGTTGCAACTTTTCATTGCTTTTGAATGCTATGGGATTCTGAATTTGCTCATTTAATCTGTCTAAAAAGCACATTTTCATTCAAATCTTCCCCCACAAAGTGGTCCACACTAAAAGGTATCCCATTAACATGTACCGGTAGCCGTAATGGTATTTTTGGCAAAATTCGGACCTTTTACCTATCTTACCTCTCTTCAGCAAACGATCTACACTTTTGGCTGCACACTGCGGCGCATGTTCGCATTGAACGGTGGAAAGTGCCTCAGTCCTGGGATTAAGGCCTAACTGTACTCTACCCTGCGGCTAAGATGATTTGTCATAGGACAATCAACCCTGGAGGGAGTATAATAAATCTCTGCAAGAGTTAAGACCACCTCCAGAACAGTAATGGTTATGCAAACCTTTCAGATAGCAATGTACAAACTCCCATAAACACGTTTTGGCTGCTTTGATTGTGCCAACTTACTCTGCCATTACAGCTATTTGTGCAACCAAATTTCATACTGGTACATCAGCACTGTGGTTTGTTGACGAGATTGAAGAGGAGATGAAAAGAGACAACCGCATGAGCATTTTATATAAACAGCAATGGCGATTGCAGCAGACACTGATCAGATCATACTCGTCTTCCACAAGCACAGCTACATGTAGGTGCACCAACAGAAGGTTAATAACCTGCAGGTCTCTGCCTTGGTCAGAGTGCAGGGAATAGTACTTGTGAACGGACACAGTGCTTCAGTGTCCCCCACACAGTGCACATCTCCTACAATAATTACTGCATAGTACCACCACGGCTATCCACCCTCGCACCCAAGATTAAACAATTACAACGCAGTAAACACGACTTATGGGAAAGATCACTGTTATAGATTTTGCCCGGCAACATCGCCAGTGCGCTTGACGTGTGAATGATACATGTACGCTTGCATCCTCTTTCCTTTTCCTTTTAAATTGTGCTATGATATAGTGTAGTATGAATAGCATACAAGAATAAGAATAATAATAAAAGCATATCAACTGATCAACTTGTGACCAATAAGAATTAACTATCTATGTATAACAATGATGTATGTAATCAATCGGAAATGTTATCAAACAGATTCGTCAAACGTCTGTTCTGGCCAAAACAAAAATAAATACTTGGTCTCTGGTCAGACCAAAGTTCTAAAATTGATGCAGCCATGCGTTTTTTTTTGGGGGGGGGATGGGTTGGCTTTTAAGACTGGCACTGAACACAGAAATGAGTGGCATAATCAAAGAGTAAAAGCTAGTAGTAGCACATCACACGTCATGCTGCCAGGGGCGCCATAGTTGTTGATCAGCTGGCTGCAACTTTGTAACCTACCCATGGTCTACGATTTGTGTTTGACGTCAACATTACGGAGTCATAACGGATCTGTCACCGGGTACGAGCTACCCATGAATTAGTCTGGTTCCTTGAACAAATTGACCTTCTGACTTGTGGATTTGTGGCCTTTAATCAGTCTACTTGTGAACATTCAGGCAGTATGGAAGGAGAGGGCGCTGTTTTGAAAATTTTGAGAAAAAAAGGAAAAAAAAATTGACACGCACGTTCAAAATTGATGCGTGTGCTGACCAGAGACCGGTTATTTTTTTTGGCCTTACAGTTGGAAAGAGGTTCCCTTGTGGGATTGTGTAATGTTATTTTGTCAATTTTGTTGATTGCTGACTTTCGTATGTCTAGATACTGGTACTAAATTAGTATCACCGTTGCACATCAGTCATACATGTATGTTTCCATCTGCAGATTAGCAAATACAACATGGAGAGAGATGATGTGGTTAACATACAGTCTGTACATGGATGTACTTCACAAACCACACCATCAGAGTCTAGTAATGCTGGAGGTGTAAACACAAGTTCTGTGGAGGTTATGGATCTTACCTTTGAGGAGTCCAAACCTGCAACAAAGAGTGCTACGGAATCAAAGGGTACCAACTCTGGAATGATACGAGAAGGCCAGGCACTGATCACCTTTCCAACAACTCATGAGGTGTTCTATAATCCTGTCCAGCAATTCAACCGTGACTTGACGTAAGTTTAGTAACAAGCATCCATTGGAGTCTATGACTAACAACTTTCTGCATGTACATGTATTCTGTTCTCAACATTTTGCTGTAGGATCAATGTAAATGGGTTCTGTGTACATGTAGTGACCTGCAGTGGGGAGGGAAGTTATAAGGGCATATCACTGGCAGTGGAAAGATTTTCAAAGTAACGGGGCCAGTTGTGACACCACCACACATCAGCTGAATAGGCGGATTTATTAAGCACCACCCTATTACAGGACTTACAAAAAGTGAAGGGGGCTACTGCCCCCCTTTGTCCACCAGTGGAACATATTGTGTTCATTGGTTACCATGTAACAAACCCAAACCCTGCATGCTTGGCAGTATTTAATTTCAACTTGTAGTTGTGTGTATACAAACCAATTGTAATTGGAGAAGCATACTAAATAGCAACATCATACAGCTTTTCAGCAAGCACAGAAATTCAGTGAGTACATGTACATACAGAATATATTTGATAAGCAACAACAGCTTACCAGCTAAATATGATTGTAACGTGTAGAACTTCTGATTGCCTCCCAACTTAGTTTTTACCAAACACCTGAATTTGCTGAGCAGTCATTCTTAATAAAGCTGGTCTGTGGTACTGTACTTTAAACATTAATTCCTTAATACACAAGAAAAAAGGAAATTCCCCACAAGGATACAAATGTACATGTGTTAGTGTTGGTATGTGTTTGTCTTTTCATTTTCACAGGATAGCTGTTGTTAGTGTGCATTCTGAGTTGCAGCTTGCTTCCAAGGGAATAAAAGGTACATGTACAAACCAGAAGTGCTCACTTTTAATGACCTGATTTCATGGAACTTAATGATGGTCTAATTCCACGGAGCTGCTAAGCAAAAAAGCATTTCTCAGTAGGTTTCTGTTAAGCACGGTTTTCTGTGATTCCCAAGTTTTTGAGCAGAAACCTTTCTCCCTAATGCATTTACATTGTATCAAAATAGACTCCGAGGGATGGCAGTTGGAACTGTACATGTAGGAGCCATAGGCTTTTTTGGATCTCTTGCTTGATGACATTATTTTGTCCCAGTGAAAACAATAGTCCATTTGGTTTGTTCATTATTGCTGGCAAATTTGGGGAGATCTGAGGTGAGTGGAAAATTCTGTCAGAAGCAAAATAAATTGCAGTACTTCTTGTTTAGAAGTAAACAGTCTAAGAAATGCTGTCTGTGTGCTGTTTGGCAGACCTGTTACAAGTTAGCTTAGTAAAGGGGAATTTACCTGGACATGAACTCACAGCAAGGGCATAGAACCTGGGAAGACAGGTGGGACATTTATTCTCAGTGGGCTTTTGGACCATTTGGGTGGGTCCGAACACAGGATCAAATCTCCCTCACTATGTCTTTACACTAGACAATCATCCTTCCATCATCAACTTTGCTGACTTCATCATTATATTCTCATCCTTGTAGCTTTAAAATGAACTCTCAAGTCTTCCTTTGTAACAGGGCAGAATCACAAACCAAGCAAAGCTTAGATCATCCTTTGTATGACAGCTTGACTGCTGAGTAGATACATGTATTGTTCCACTCAGCAAGCATCTGTGCTTAACACTTCCAAGAAACCTGTCCTAGATATTATGAATTCCATGTTAACTGCAGTGTAACCTTGTCTTCAGTCAAAAAGACACAAATTGCCTCAGAGAAATATTTACTCCTGTGGTTTCCTTTGTTTTGTCCTGAACAGAATAAAAATTGAAAAAAAAATCAGAACAGGAAAGAATGCTTTTCTCTTGCAGTTTCATACAAACCCAGAAATGAAGACATTGCCACTGCAGGCAAAGACATATCATCAACAGAAGGAAACAGCATTCCTACCGCAACAGGAGACAAAACCTACCACCCGGGGGAGTACTGCCAAGTAAATGATAATAATGATTGCTTGTACTGACTCTAGCCCATAAGTGAATGTGAAATGTCTTTGGCTGGTGCTCCCTGTGCTCCCATCTGGCAGTTCTACTTGGGACAAATGGAAATTTGTAGAGCTGCCAGATGCTTTAAAGTGAGTTTTAAGGCCTTTTTTTTTTTTAAGAATTACATTTTCAGTTGACATTGTATCACATGATATGATTTCAGAACATAGGGAGCCCCTTTGATTTTGAGTTGTCAGCTGAGCATGCTGATGAAATGGACATACATGTAGCATGTACAATTGTACATGTATGTAGGCAAAAGTCTTGAGGAGGGTCCTGTTGATTTATTTTGTATGAGAATGTGTGTGGAATTCTAGATTTATTTCCATTTTGCTTTGCTTTTGTGTCCGATAAGATAGTCATTCCTGATGCTTTTGAGACATAAGATAATTTTTTTTTTTCAATTTTTCAACTCTATGATTGTGACAATCAGGAAGGTCTGTGTATTGTTGAGGGTCTGTCTGCTACTGGACTGAGAGGGGTGCGATATGCTAAGGAGATTCCAGGACTCAAGAACATTGTGGCTAATGACTGGAATCATGAAGCCTTTAAGGCCATTGAACACAACATCAAGCAAAATGAAGTAGAGCATCTGGTTACTGCAAGCCATTGTGATGCATCGTAAGTCCTCACTCTAAGCCATTGTGATGCATCGTAAGTCCTCACTCTAAGCCATTGTGATGCATCGTAAGTCCTCACTCTAAGCTTGCTCTTGTGTGGAATTTAAGCTCCCATATACACAGACATGCAGTAATGGCTTTCTGCACGGTAACAAAGATCAAACACAGTGGTTGCCTTTTGGACTAGTTTTACTGAGATTGAGCAAACCAAATGTTAGTGCAAAACGTCTTCAAAGATACCAAATTGCAAGATGGCATATTCTGGTGGGTCACTGATCTTGTTCTGATTTCATAGACTGACTTGCATGGTTTAAAATGTCCTTGTACCTTCTGGTGGGGCAGTGTTGTTGGTGTAGAAAGTCAATCATTTGCACACTGAGCTAATTTCCACCTTGTCTACAATGTAGCATATTGTGCCTGTTATTGCTTTTCATTGGTGCCCTCCTTTGTCTCTCATCTGTGTAAATAACCCTCAAGCAATGTCTTCTTATTAACTGTCTTTTGCATATAACAGCACAATAACACGTATGCACACACACCAAAATTGGATGCAGGTGGAGACATTGTTTTGTTTTCTGATCTAAATTTGGGTGTGAAGTACTGCTTTCAAAATGCTCCCATTTGAACCAGCATTACTTTACCAGGTTGAAAATCCAACTGAATGTCCCTTAAAAATGCTTAAATTAACTACCAATAATATACATGTACATTAAAATTCCTCTTTGTCCAAAAAGCTGTTTCAGGAAATCCTTGTGGAGACCTATTCATCTTCAGAATGGCTTGTTTTATGGAGACCTTTTTTACCTATTCTCCGTGGTGTCCACAAAACACTAGATTTTGAATCACAGGGTGTCCTAGAAAAAAGATACCCCCAAAAAAAGGATATACAATATGCATGTACAACCAGGTTATCAAACTGACAAGCTTTCAAGCTAATCCAGGATGTTGTCTTTTCTAGACGGTTCCTTTGGCCAAGAAAACAATGTTGGCAATGTGGACAAGAATCAGGGCCATAAGACAAACCTAAAAAGGAACAAGGGGAACTGCAGAAGCTACTGCAGACTTCTTATCTTTTGATCAGTAGAAAATTAAATAAATTTACTGATTTCCTATTATTGAAGGCATGGAAAGTCAAGTTATTTAAATGTTAAACATTGTTTTTCAGCCATAAACTCTGTCATTTTTCATTTGCAATTGGCTTTGCTGGATCTTTCTGATCTGTCTCTTAATGAGAATGAGGACTTTATTGCATTTTACTTGTAAACTACACCTCTCTATTGTTTTCCTTTAATACAATCACAGATCTTGTATGAACTTGTTTTTGGAAAAAACAACCAAATTCATGTTTAAATTATTTCCCTGCTAGGCTGCTCATGAACCAGTATCGACTGAGTGACCGCGTGGATGTGGTTGATCTGGACCCATATGGCAGCCCTGCCAAGTTCTTGTATAACTCCATGCAGGCAGTTAAAGATGGTGGGATTCTGTGTGTAACCTGCACTGACATGGCCGTGCTATGTGGCAATCGCAGTGAGGCATGCTTTGCAAAGTACGGGGCCATGTCCCTCAGAGCAAAGTATTGCCAGGAAATGGTGAGAAATCTGCAGAATAGAAAGAAATTTGTACAAGTTGAATGTGGGGGAATTGGAAAATGAAGGAATATTAAAAACAATCTCAATTTCAGTAGTTCTCTATTGCATTTCTATCTTTATATCTTGCTGCATATGGACTACCTGTTCATGGAATGTCACCTTTAGCCTGTGTAATTTACTAGGCACACTGTACTCACTGCTGTCTGAGAGCTTATGGAGGAAAAAAAACCTGCTCTGTCAATCCACAAATTGCTGCTTACTCACTCGTACATCTCAAGCATCCCCCAAAACACTCAGCAAAGACAGATTACAGGGGTTAAAATTAACGGTGGTCCGCTGGCCCAGGCCCACCAAAAATTCATCGGGTCACTGTATTCTCCCATAACGATAACCTGGCAGGACAGTGGTCATTTGAGGAACATTGCCACATTTTCAAAACTTTCATTACATTTTTCAACTCGTGTTTCAAATCACCGCCGCAGCGCTTTCGCGTTCACGGTATGATTCCTCAGTCCTCGCGGCCGGGCTCATGTGCCACATGCACATGTAGTGACACGACATTCTGTTAACTGTGCGATCGTGCATACAGCTCATACATGTGTGGCAGGCGCTTGCCCTGGTATGTTGGCTGGTATCATTTTCCATCAATGCCAGTTTACAGATTGTGTCGCATTGAGTGTAATCATTAAGTACAAGCAATATAACCTGGAATTAGATTTGTGTACACAAACAAGACGTATATAGACGACAAATCAAGTTTTGGAAATCAACTTGTAGAAATCTTCCTGTGACATCATTTTTTTCGATGTGCAGTTGTTGGGGGTGTATGGTGAGTTGTACAATGCTATTTTGACTGGGATGCATGGACTGGTTGCCATGTTACCATCATGCCTTCTTTGGCAGTGGCGTGGCGTGGAGCAATGTTACATGCATGGTTTCACCACCGTGATAGCGAAATGCAAAGGGAACTTGTAAAAATAACAGAGCTTTCTTTCCAACTGTGGCAAATGTAAGCAGGCAAACAAAAAATACAAGCTTTTAGATGTGAAAAATTGTTGAGAGGTTTTGTGAAGACAGGATTTTTTTTTTTGAATTTTTGAATTTGGTTTTCGTACTTACCAATATAAATTTTTTGGTCGTACAAAAATGTAGGATCAGTCGCGTAACCAGAAAAAATTTTTTTCTAGTTTTTGGCCTTAAAAAGTGTGTTTAAGTCCAGCCAGGCTGGCCAATCAGCTGTTTTGGTCGAGAAGTTCCACTGATGCAAATGGGCATGTGTGGTTAGCCTGATCAATATCATTACATGTACTCAACCTGGGCCACCAAATGTTCATGAGGGCCAGTGTGGTGCACTTCCCACTGGCTCTGTGGGCCACCAAGAGATTGAAGTTCATTTCGACCCCTGAGATTACCAGTCAAAAAGTCATGTTACACTTATTGGTTATGACAGGTATTGTGTTAATATATGCTCAGTGAATAGATTTACTTGGCAAATCTTTGCTCGCTCAGCAGTCCTGTGAAAGTTGGCCTGGGATTTATTATTATCAGCGGGCTTGTTTAAGTGCAAAAGAGCAAGGACACACTGTAGTCTCTAACTCGTGCATCAGTTAGAAGTAGACTTGAATTTTTGTTTTAACAGTTAACATTATCTGTTCACTCTGTTGATGGTACCCCTTTACCAGCAATAAAGAGAGAGGCTAATATAGGGAGTACTTCAACTGCTGGGCACCTAGCATGCATATGAAAACTCTACTTTTCAACAGAAATTGGTCATGTACATGCATCACTTAAACATAATGTATTGCCAAAGGAATGCTTTATCTATGTACAAACACACTACTGCTTATTCACGCACAGATTAAGCCACTGTGTGCTCAATGCTTCTAAACTCACAATACCATTTTTTCTTCTTGGCAGGCATTACGCATTGTATTGCATTCCATTGAAACCCATGCTAACCTGCATCATCGTTACATTGAGCCTCTGCTGTCAGTCAGTGTGGACTTCTACATTCGACTCTTTGTGCGGGTACACACCAGCCAGTCTAAGGTCAAGCAGTCAGCTGCGTGAGTCGCACTCTGTGTCAGTTTTCTAGATTTGTAGATACTGGGCTTTCAAATACAATTGCACATGCACTTGCATTATTTTGTTATGTTGCATTTGGAAAATGAAGAAAAGAGTGACCGTTAGAAGATATTTGGAAGATGTTGTCCCTGATTTGAAAAAAGCAATGTCATGAGGTCCTGCTGTGATTTTATTTTTGAATGCCTATTACTCTGAAGTAGTTAGAGATATCTGTGGCAACTGTTCCTATTTTGTCCACAGCAAAAAGGCCCTGGTGTATCACTGTGGGGGATGCGACAATTTCTACCTGCAGAGAATGGGCCGACTGGTTCCTATCGGGACTGACAAAAAGTGAGTGGTCCTATTGGCTCAGTGCTTACTGTAGAGGATGCTTGGAAGCCTTGTGAGGTTACAACACTTGTCTAAAAGCTGTGGCGGTTGAAGTGACATGCACCTGCTGATGAAGTTAGTGGCTAGTGATTGGTATGGCTACATGCTATCAGCTTGGTTTCCCTGATGACTTGACCATCCAACTGATCTCTGTATACTAACTATGCACCCGACACGTATCCACAGTTCAACTAAAATGATGTCGCGTGTGGCATGTGTTGCTTGTTGTGAGATCATTATGGTCAAGGGAGGGTGTGTTGAACCTTACCGGACACAGACATTTATTGTTGGTCTCTATTCACTTTTAATAGGGTATGAAATCTCTGCTTTTTATTGGATTTCTGCTTTTTTGTTGAGTATGCGAAATTCCACTTTCCTCTTCTTTGCCGCCAATGGGTCACATTTTCCTTGTTTTCTACCTTGCACAAGTGCTGATTTTCCTTCTTTTCTACCGACGCAACAGCCAGGCCAAATTTTGCACATTCTCTTTCTGACATCGAACTCGTGTGAAAACAGTACTGTGTGTCCTGGAGTTCCGTAATGCGTGCGATTGAATCTTTGTGGGTATTTTTCAGACTGGTTTGAAGCTCAAGCCTTATGTGTAAATAGCATCCTGGGAACCGCCCGATCATTGTGTTGTGATTGGCTGCCAATGAAATACCAATATTCATATATATGTTAGTGTTACAGTCGTTCCTGCGTCAGCGGAAGTAATGACTAACAATCTCTACTTTAACTCGTGGCAGCACACATTTCACCATAAGTGCGCGGCTTGAAATAAGGTTAGCAAATTTTTGCTTCCACCAACAGAGGGCTTCGTGACAACTGGTGTGGGGCAAAGTTCTTGTGTCATGCATTATCACGGATGTTTTATATGCTCTGTTTGCATCATTTACAGTTCAAGATTTCAAACAATTTTGAAAATAAACTCATCAAAATGTCAGTGCAACACAAGCATATAAGTTGTCCAAAGAGGCACTGACTTGGATGTATCTTTGACGAGACCAATCCTCAAGTTACAAATATGCGGAAATGGAAGTGGATAGAATACACTGTAGACGGGCAGGCGACACAATTTTTGCCAGGAAAATCCAAAATGCCTGGACATGCATTGTGCATTCTTGGTATCAAAGAATTGGAGTTTTGATGATGATGTGGGAAGGGGGACAACTCACTTTACAAACCTCAATGTTTACAATTCTGGTGTAGTGTTATTAGTTCATTTTAACCTTCACAAAGTTTCAGGCAAATTTGAGAAAAAGTTGCATACATTGCAAGAACAAAAATGACCAATGGTTGCACCAGTAGGCTGTAAAATGCACCACAGAGTATGTGCAGTTCAAATTTTGGAAGGGCCTTTAAGTGGGCCCCAGACTCCACGCCATGTGCTTCTCACTTTGCACTTGGAATTTCAGCTATTTTTGGCTGGTATTTTTGTGCTCCACTCACAATCCTGTTTTAAGAGATGAGTTCAGTCAATAGACTTTTCTCTAACTGCCTACAAGGTCTAATGCATATCTAAGTTTAGCACAGAGTTCACCCATGGACTCATTTTGCTTGAACATACACAGTTACTTAAACTGTTCAAGAAGGAAACATTTCCATTAAATATTTAGTAGTTCTTGTGAACAATATTTTGATTGCCATATAATATTTTTTAAAACAAATTGTGAAGTTTTGTTTTGGTTTTGTATTGCTGGCCTAGCATAGTTTGCCAACCACTAGTAGGTAAACATTTACTGTTGTATTAAATGTGGGGGGCTTTTTAAGTTAGCTTACTTCACTACCAATGTTGTGTAAGTAAATGGCTTGTCTAATAGCAGATGTTAATTAACCAGAAAAATTTTTCTGCCAGGAACTTCAAGTACAAGAATGCGTTAGGACCCCCGGTTGGTACAAACTGTGAAAACTGTGGCTCTAGATTCCTTGTAAGTATGTAATCTGTGAAGAAGTCCCAGACACAATAAACACAGGAAATGTTTTCTGTTACAAGGCTTTGAAGTTTCAGGGAGGGATTTTTGTAAAGTGCAGTGATACATTGGCATGAATATGGCATGAATGGCATGTCTACATTGACTGACCAGTGCAGCTGCATGAGCCTATTGATCATTCAACAAAACCCACTACACTGGACTGAGGAGAGACATCAAAATGAAAACATGAAAACCAAAAATACACACAAAAAAGAATCTAGTTCTGACAACTAACTCATTGAAATATTTCTGAAATTGTTGATAATCTCAGGTTTTTCAGGTTGTAAAATTCCTGATCACTTCACATCATTGTGGGGGAGGGGTCATTGCTCATGGTACTCCCATGTCTTTTGCACTTTTTGTAGCATTAGGAACCAGTGTTATCATGATCTGATGACAGGTGGAATGGTTCCTCTTTTTGCTTGTGCACATATAGATGATTTCATACCAAAGCAAACATGCACCATACTAAGGTTTGACTACAATCAGTGAGCATGCATGAACAGGTGTGAAATAAAATTGTCTGTGCTGTGTCTTTACTGTTTTAAATGGTCCACAAGTAAAATAAAACAAAGTTTGATCAATTTTTCCTTTTCAGAGAGTAAAATATCAAATTATGCACATGAAGTTCTGCACTAATAATTTTCTAATATTTTTAGCACGGCTTCGATTTAAAATACAAGCGGTGTATGCAATAGCCTCGGTTCTTTCAGCTGATCATTCTCACTCAAGCTGCACAGCTCAGTGGCTAAACAACTGCTTGAGATTTTAAGTATGTTCTGTGAAGAGTGTTGAATAATTAAAATCCAGTTGACTTCAGAATGTAACCCACAATTCAAGTAGTTATTCTGTTGCAGACTGAGATTGTGATGAGGACCTGGGTAATTGATAACCATCTGAAAATGGCAGTTTGCCCAGTTCCTGAAGGATTGGCAGTTTGCCCAGTTCCTGAGGGATTTGCAGTTTGCCCAGTTCCTGAAGGATTGGCAGTTTGCCCAGTTCCTGAAGGATTGGCTTTGTAACTTTTAAGCTGCTTTTGTTTTCTGTTTTGGTTACTTTCTTTAGCTTGGAGGGCCTATGTGGGCAGAACCAATCCATGACCCAGACTTTGTCAAGAAGCTGTTATCTCACATCACTGCCCACTCGGACCGTTTCCACACCAGCCCCAGGATGAAGGGCATCCTCACACTGATCAGTGAGGTACACAACTTAAAACAATATCATCTCATAGCATGACCATGTCTGATTTAATTGAATCAGTTAATGCTCTGTGTACATGTATATTCACTCAATAGAAATCATCTTGCTCCTCCTGCTTAAAATATTAAAACACTTATAATACTATTAATTAAAAGAAATTTCAGACTTCCTATAGATGTCATTAAAGAATATTACTCAAAAATGGGTAAAATAAATCACATCATGAAATTAAAAGAAATGACAACAAAATAAGTATAATTAACTCTAACCTGTAGGGACCATTGAAATCATGCGTATGCTTGTTGGATTCAGAATGGTTAGGGCGAAAAAAGAATTGATTAGCCCTAACTACCACAAACCTGCCATACTCTAACAGCAGGTTTTGTGAGGTTTGGTACCGTACCTGATGAAC